ACAGCCAAATGGGCGGCGCTGCCATTCACGCTTCGCTATGCACAAAGCGGCTGACGCTCAGCGCTGGGCGCCGGCCTCGCACAATGGCATCATTAGACACGCAGGGCAGCTCTGCAGCTGGAGCTGCCACCGGGCTGAGGTGGTGTCAGCTTTTTTTGTACATAAATGCATCTTTTATTTTTAAAAGCATGGGGAAAGAAGATGCAGCGTCTTGTCTTAAAGATTGAGGAAGCAGTCTGGCAGTGGGAAGGTGATTTAGGCTGGGAGAAAGTGGAAGAAGCTCTTCTCTCTCCGCTTGTATTGGAAAAGGAGGTGGTGGAGTCGCCGTCCCTGGAGGTGTTCAAGAGCCATGGAGATGTGGTGGCTGGGGACATGGTCAGTGGGCATGGGGGGGTGGGTTGGGCTTGGGAATCTGAGAGTTCTGTTCCACCTCAACGAGTCTGTGGCTTGAGGCAGGTGCCTTGATGTGGTGCCAACCAGGACAGGTATTTAATGAGCCTCAGCCATACCAAGGGTTGGTTCTGCTGCAGCAGTGAGCCTGATCTGAGACCAGTTCAGGACTGTGTTGAACTGGTACGGTGGGCTGTGGTGATTTAAAAACAACCCTGACTTCTGCTGGTCCAAAGGGAAATTCAGTTTAATTAGGAAGTTGGAAATATTGGTATGAAAATCAGCAGCCTTACCAGCACCAGGATAGAACTGCGCCTGCCTGTGACTTGTTCTCACCATGTTCTTCTCAGGATTCATATTTCTCAGCTGTAATAGAGCTAACGAAGCCTACCTTCCTCATCAGGAGCAGCTGGAAGCTCGGGTACTTCCTTGTTCCATGTACTGAATTAATTCAGAGGCATTTTAGCCACATGCCTCCATTGGAAGAGGCTCAAATGTAATGGGTTGGTGGCAGAAATGTGGAGAAAAGGTCTTGCCCTTGGGTTGCAATTTGTGGGCTCTCTAGCCCTGGTTTGGGATGTTCAGCATCTCCCCAGCATCCTCGGGCATCGCAGCCCTGGGTATTTGCTTTCCACAAGAAATTTAGAAGCAACAGGCAATGCAACTCCAGATCGAGGTGGGCTTCCCAGTACTCTCCTGTATGGGAACTGCTGAGTCACGGCCTGAACCTCTGATTAATCAGCTGAGGTGAGCCTTGAGTCAGCCAGAGGAGCACAGGTGAAGGCAATTCACCTGTGCTGCCGGAAGGGGTGGAGCCTGGCTCCCCCCCTCCTGGACCTATTTAAGAGCTGGCTACCAGAGGGGAAGGATCTCTTCTGGAGATCCCCTCTTTTGGTATCTTCTGGTGAGCTCAACCCAAGGGTAAGCTCTTCCACTTATTCTCTTTGTGATCATTGTCTGTTTGCCTTACTCTCTTGATTATATTGTAATTATAACATCTTGGTTATACAAAATTATAACATCTTGGTTATACATCTCCTAACACCATGCTTGGCACCAAACCTTGTAAGTTTTCTTCCTATCCTTGTGTCTGCAGCTGATAATAATGTTTGCGTTTTAATGATTCTAGCAGGCCTGGGATTTACTTTGACATACCAAGTTAATGTTTTCTTTTTCTATATCAAATCTAGGGCAATCTCTGGCTTAGCAGTAATGCTGTGCTGAGCAAAAAAGGATTGGCCACTAATGGTTTCAATTTAGTTCTTCATGGAGTCAAGGAAATTTCATTTGATAGTTATTCTCAGTTTTATTCCATTGGCCTTTTCACGGGAGCTGATAGGCTGGGAGTGTGTTTGCTCTTTGATTAAAGGAGCCTCAGCGTGCTTGTTTGCCAGAACAAATCCCTTGTGAATATGGATGAGGATGAGAGCTGTTGCTCACCTGCGTGATGCTGTGGCTTTGGAGCTGTGTCTGTAGGGTATGCATTGGGATGAGGGCTTCTCTTTAGGGAACCAACTCCATTTTGACAGAGGTCCTCCAAGATTAAAAGAATGGAAGAGTAACTCCTTTGCCTCAAGCCTTAGACTTCCCAGCTGGCGTCTGTCCCAGGTGGGAAGGTGCACCTACATGAGTGGCACGGAGGGGCTGTTAAAGCCATTGGCACTGCGGAACATGGTTTGGTGGTTGTGGTGGTGATGGATTGAGTAAGTGGTTTTCTCCGGCCTTAGTGATTCTATGATTCTATTCTGTGATTCTGTGTTTCCCCATCTTCTGCAAGCCTTATTCTGTGGCGTTTTGTTTTTTTATCTCTCTGCTTTGTGTCAGTCTCTGTGTACCATGGCTGAAGTCCAGGAGTGATGTGAGCAAAAGCACTGAGACACCATGGTTTGTAGCATCAGCGTGGAGTAGGGGCTGTGTGCAGGATCCAGGTCTGGCTTTACTGTTTGCTGGGTACCCTGTGCTCACCATGCATGGAACTGTGCTCCACAAGGAGGTGAAAGAGGGCAGATAAATGGGATACTTGATGACACTACAGAGGGCCCTGGGGCAGCACCAGTTCCTCCGTTGGCACACGGATGGTGGAGACTGTGGGAGAGCGATGGGTAACATGGGCTGCTGGATTCCCGGTGTCTCCCTGCTTAGGGGCTTATATTAAGAGGGACTGTTGTGATTGCATGTATTTACTTTTCAAATGATTATGGCCATTAGCAGAGAAATTAGATGCAGCTCCCTGGCTGCTGGCCAACCCCACCGGGCTGCCGTGCAGCTCCTCTCTGTGTGCTGGCAGCAGGAGTCTGCCGAAGGACAAGTGACAACCATGAGCAAGCACTTCGCTGCAGGAGTTTGTTTACAGTCACCTGGCACATATGTAAAAATCTTGGGTGGCTCAGCAGAGATGGAGGCCCTCTGAGCAATGCCCAGCAAAGCAGCCACGCTCCTGTTCCGCTCCTCTCTGCACACCTTGAGATTTACTGCTGGCTGAAAGCAGCATCCAGGCAGCCACCTGCATTTAAGTTTGGTTGCTGTTTTACAGGAGGTGCTGTGAAAGCCTTTGTCTTGTCAAGTGTAAATAAACTCGTAAACCTGTGTTAAAAATAGCATTTTGTAGCTCAGTGAATGAATTTTTAAAGCATCTTCTGCAAACCAGCTGGTCTTGGCAAGGGTCACAGTGTTTCCTAGGCATTTAACATAAAACCGTGCTTCAAAGCCACATTATAGGGTCGTTGAAAAGTAATATTTTACTTAACATCCTCATAACTGAATTATTTATAACTTCCCATGTTTTATTCATGATAAATATTAATACTGGTGTCTTTAGGAGCAGAGGTTATTGCTGCAGTTTTACCTATAAGAGGTGATGTTATTGAAATAAAGGAACGACAGTGAATTCTACAGCCAGCAGAGCGACGTCTGTGCTGGGGCTGTTCTCATTCACACCTCCTTATCAACCCTGTCAGCCACTGAAAAAACCTCAGTGCTGAGCATCTGTACATTTGTAACCAATTTTCCTGCAGGCATCTGAATCCCTGCTTTTTTTTTTCTTTTTTTTCCTCTTTATTAACAACCTCTGTGTCATTCTTTTTAATTCTTGGATTCACAGTTCTTCATTCAAAGCTGAGGATTCATCGGCTTTGGTTGTGAGATGCTCACGCCAGCCTGAGCTCTCCTGCCTTGAGAATTCCCATTTGTTTCACTTTGGAGAGGGGTTGCCTGGGTTGGAGGCTGCTGTGCAAGACCCTCCGGCTGCCTTTGGAGTCCTTCCCACACGGCTGGGTGCTCTGGGACACGAGCAGTCTCATTTCCAGGCTGAACCTCTAGCAACTGGGTAAATTACCATTTGAGCATTGGGCTCTGCCCCGTGCCAGAGGGGCTATTTGCATTAGCTTTCATCTTGGGAAAGGGAAATAATCAGTGCCTGATCTTTTGCCTTGTGCTGATGTGTGCAGCCTGGCATGGGGCTGGGGGCCCCAACCCACGCCTGTATGGCTGAAAACCCCTCGAACCCCACGACCAGGTCGAGGTTTTGCTGTGCATCGTTGCAATCCTCTTAACAAATCTGCTGCGAGCCGTGGGTCGGGGAGCAGGGCAGGTTAATGCAACACATATTTAATGTATGATTGCTAATGGCCACCTCCCATCTGCCTGAGCCCAACTGGAGTTTGCAGATGAATGATTAAGCTGCCCTGACACATGGGCAGCTTGTTCCTTAGCAGAGGTACATTCATTATGCCTGACACATGTAACGGGGATGGGGCTTTCTGGCTGGTGTGATGGGGCTGGGGTGGTGGAGCAGGGGCTCTCTCTGAGTTTATTTTATATGATAATGTGAGCAATCTTCCTGCAGATGCAGCACTATCAATGAATCACGAGCTAAGTAACCACTGGGATGTTTATTAGCCTTGAATATGTTTATTGCGGAGTCAACAGGCAGCACCTTCCAATTAATTAATAGTAATAATTACTGTATTATTTATGTAGCTCTAACAACACGCCAGCGTCTTTCTGCACAATGGTTACAGCTGTGGCTGTGCTGCAGTGGGCAGGTCTGCATGCACCCTGTGTGGGCATGCTGGGGTCTGTCATTCTCTGTGGGGTGGTCTTGACATCACCAACGTTGGTGAGCGGGGCTGCTGAGCTCCTGGCAGCCTGTTATGTGTTGCCTGAAACCTGTTGCTCTGCAGTCTGGGAATGCTTGAAGGTAGAAGGTGCAGTGCGTCAGTTGGCTCGGTGTGCAGGTGTACAGCAAGAGTTGGCCACGAGGTAGGAGAAGAGGTTTCAAGCAGCCTGCTCTTCTGCCATGGCGGATGCAGGGCGATGCAGTTTGCCAGCTGTAGGAAATTGAGACATTTGTAGTTGATGTGCAGCTGTTGGTCATGGATCTCTTTCCACATGTGAATATTTTCGAGGCCCTGGCACTGCTGCCCAGAGAAGCTGCGGATGCCCCATCCTTGGAGATCCACAAGGCCAGGTTGGATGGGGTATTGGGCAGCCTGATCTGGTGGGGGGCAACCAGTCCATGGCAGGGATTGGAACTAGATGGTGTTTAAGGTCCATTCTAACCCAAGCCATTCTGTGATTCCATGATTTTTGTTTCTCTTTGTGTCTTCCAGCCATGTCTGACTTCCACATCCACCCTCAGAATGCAGTGGTGGAGGAAGGGGGCGTTGCAAGGTTCCAGTGCCAGATTCATGGTCTCCCTGAGCCCGTCATCCTCTGGCAGAAGAACCGCATGCCGGTCAACACGGACAATGAAAGGTAGGGCATGTCCAAGCCACATAACACTATTCCACACCTGTGGAAACAGGTGACAAAGTTGTACTATGGCATGACTGATGCGGGCTGAGACTCTTATCTACCATTTCTGCCATGGAAAACTCTTTCAGTTCATGTTTTGAGTTGTCTGGGCACCTTCTGGCTAAAGACTGTCCAGAAATAGTGTGTGCTGTAGGTGTCCCTGTTCGTTGTAGGGGAGTTGGGCAAGAGGACCTTTAAAGGCCCCTTCCAACTCAAATGATTCTGTGTTACAGGAGAGCTAGTTAAACCCTTTTAGCTGATTTTTCTGGGGCATAGGCTTACATTGCCCTCTCCTGAGAGGAGGCAGCCCTCCTCCAGGCTGACATTCCAGCATGGAGAGCCACCAGCAGTCCTGGCAGAGCTCAGAGCAACTCTGGCACCCCTCATCACTCTATGGCCCCATTTTGTGCAACTCTTTCCAAGCTAGAATCATGATTTCTGGTCTTACAGGTGTCTCCTGAACCTCTACAAGCACCAAGTTACACCACGGCGTTTTGTGGGGGGCAGCAGGGAAGCTCTGCAGAGCATCCCACAGTGCTGCTGTTTCCCCTGCAATCCTCCAGCAGAGAAACGCCAACCTCTCCCCTTCCCCCATGCTAGACCTGGGACAGCACGTCCTCACTTCCTGTGTTTGCCAGGCTGCTCCATTCGTGTCGGAAACATCCCTAAATCCCAACAGGTGGCAGGAAGTGCGTGCTCCACACCAGTGTTCCCAGCTGCAGCTGGAGGTCTTCATGACCGGCGGTGGGAGACAATCGGTCGCAGCACACCTCCATCACCAACTGATGGCTGTGTGTTGGGAATAGGCGAAACCAGGAAGCTGTAAATATTTTTCCTGAAAGCCTCTATTCTTGAAATGTCAGTCCTTCTGCAGCGCGTGGTTGGGTTCTTTGGAGGCAGGAGAAAACATGAGGATTGGAACAATACCTGACCTTTTCAGTGCCACGGTGAACTTACAGTAGAAGGACCCAAGAGGCCCAACCCTGCAGTGGAAAACTGCAACTGTCAGGTTGTGTTTTTCTTGGTGTTTTTCATCTGAGCTTTTTTTAGCCTGGTACATGGTTGGTTTGTTAAATTTAATCTCCTCTGAAGGCTCCTCACTCAAACAAGCGCTAAACCAACTATGTAGCAGAGTAGGGCATCTGGTCCAAGGTAGCATCAGCAGGAGTGGAGGTGAAGAATTGGGCCTGACACCTCGTGTAAATCCTAGTGAGATGTTGCGGGATGGGTGGATGGGTGAAGTTGCTCATTGCCCCCTTTTTGAGCTCGAGGTTACTGATGTGGGGATAGCCAGACCTATGGCATGATCCAAATGTGATAAGGGCTCTTTTTTTCCAAGATTGGGGAGGAAGAGGCAGACCACCACGAACTGCATTCATCCCACTGCTTCTGTATGGGGCAGGGAGCTTGCCCAGGATGTGGCCTCGGAGCAGGTTTTCTATGTTTGGTGTCCTGATTTTGAACAGGCTTTTAATAGGAGTACATTTATAGGGAAGATTTTTATTGTTAGCTCAGTAGATTAATCTCTGACACCAGTGGTCCTAGGTGGTGAGGGTTGTTTCTCTAACTGAATTGAATTTCTGCATTAATCATGCTTGGCACAATTCTGCTTATAGACGCGTATATAAATTTGTATGCTGAGTCTTGCACTTGGAGGCTTTGAAGACAGAATAATAGCTTTGGAATTGAATCTTCTAATGCTGTGGGCAGATTGTTAACAAAATGAAGGCTTCTTGTGGTATAATTCATCCAAAACAACGGGCATTTTAAAGTCCCGGAGAGATTGCAATCAACTTCTGGACGTGTAGAACTGATTGCTGTCAGGCTGCCACCGACACTGAGCCACACACGTGGAAGGTGGCACAGGGAGCAGGTTGTAGGCATTTAACCATATGCTGCCATAGAAGAAGATATTCTTCATTTTCCAGGCGGAAGTGGATTATTAACTCATCACAGTGTAATGACATACTACAGCCAATTCAAACACACAGTTGCCAAGCAACCTGTGATATGTGTACACGTGTGTGTGTGTGTGTATGCATGCATGCTCCAAATTAATCTGTTTTATATATACAAAATATTTACAGTTACATATATGCCTGCACAGTATCTATTTTAAAGACTCTCTTCCGTGCATTTGAGGTTTTAAGGTTGCATGGGTTTGAGTCCTGAGTTGGGCCTGGAGCTGGGAGTGTGGAACGCACACTTCCCCTGGTGCTCACTCGCAGTCGTTGTGCTTCAGCTGATGGGATGTAACACACATTCAGCTGTGTTCACATGAGAACACACTTCCAAAGCTTTCCACAGGTAAGTAGGAAACACCTACTTTGTAGCCTTCCATCAGAATCCATCCTTTCCCAAGGATGCATCAGAAGATGAAAAAGGGATCCAACCTTCCTCCCTTGAGTGATGTCATGTCCCGCTTTCACATTGTGTCCTGCCTTGCAGGGTTCTGATTCAGCTTTTCCTCCTGCTGCAGGTACACGCTGCTTCCCAAGGGGGTCCTCCAGATTACAGGACTAAGAGCAGAAGACAGTGGGATTTTTCACTGTGTTGCCACCAATATTGCTAATGTGAAGTTCAGCCGGGAGGCCAGGCTCACTGTGTCAGGTCAGTACCAGCACAGGCTATCCTGGCTGCCTTTCCTTCTTTTTCTACCTGTTGCTGTTCTAAACTGGAATCATTTAAGAGTGCTTCAGGCTGACAGCACTGAGAAGCATTCCTCTGTCAGGCAAAAGCACTTTCCTTGTTCAGGATTAGTCCATTTGCCAGCAGATAAATCTGTCTCTTAGCCTTCAAATTAATGCCAGTTTCTGGAGAGAGGGAGGACAGTGCAAACAAGGGTTAGAGCATCTTTAGATTAAATAAATTCTTCTGGAAACGTGGAAGATTCATCATTTCCTTGTGAGACATGCCCACCCTGGAAGTAATTGCAGCACACACGGTGATCAATTATTTATCTAATAGGGGAATTATGTTCTGTAGGCTGTTAGTGTTACACTGCAACCAGAGTGAGCTAACCTTTCTTTTGGAAGATGAGAAGGAAAAACCCTGAGCTCCCCAGTCTGAATTTTGACTTAGCTCTCCATCCAGATTTGAAGCAATTGGCAGAAAACTGGTTTTTCACCTCTGAAAGCTCCAGCTGAAGGAATGACAGTATCTTATGGTCCCTGCACAGAAAACACAGACCCAAGTTATATACTGGCTGCTCTTTTGTGTGCTGCTGGAAATACAATGCGATAGAACTACTGTGAATTCAAACCAAAGCAACTCCCATCCACACTTTGCATGTGCAGAAGTTCAATCTGTTTAGGAGGCTACACAAACTGTGCCCTGGAAGTGATGAGCTTGAGTGTAGTTGAGGAAGAAGGAGTTTGCAAATACACTACCATGTTTCCATAGCTGTGTCATACTCCACTGCCCTGCCAACTGCCCATCTTCCATTAGCCATCCATGTGGGACTCAAGCTGACCTCTTGGAGCCCTGTGGGGCAATTTCTAAACTTGATTTTTAGGTTGCCTCCTTCTGCTTAGCAATGTCTTTGCCGGTCAGTCTTTTTAATTCGAAACGCTTTTGGCTTCAGAAGTCTCTGTTGGTGCTTCAGTAGCTGCTCCTGGCATGAGCAAGTGGAAAGTATTAAGTCAAATTATACAACCCAGCCTCGGTGGTGAATGACACCATTGTCTCTCTTCTTAGAAATCACACGGCCTGCCTTCAGCTGCCTGGCCACTGGTCCTGCAGCGGGAGGTTTACACCTGCACCGAGTGTCAGATGAGCCCCTACAGACTGTAAAAAAGCAGTGTGTGTGAAATGGGGAGAAGCTGAGGAGTGAGTGATGCTGTGTATGTCAGCTCTTGTGGAGAAAGAAATCAGGTTAGCCGGTTCTGAAAGACCTGGGAGCTTTTGATGCTTGTTCTCTTGGTCTATGTGAACAGTAACTGCATGGAGGGGGAAAAGTACAGTAAATTATCAATGCATTGAAGTTCTTTGTGTCAATTTTCTGGTCTGAGCTATTGTTTCTTGTAAGACAGAAAGCTGTTAGCTGTTGTCGTCTTACCATCCCTCATTGCAAATGGATATTTTCCAGGTTTCCTGTCTATGCAATGTTTGTGGTTTTTCTTTTCCTTACAGCACTCAGATGATGAATATGGGCTCAGCATTTAAGTGTCTGCTGAAGGGCTTGGGCTGTGCTTCAATTACTGCATGTGAGCAGCGCAGCTGTAACAGCACCCTTGCATGCTCTGAGCCTGCTGAAAACGCACTGCAGTGGGTTAAATCTCAGAGAAACAGGTTTGTGTGCTCTGGGTGTTTGCAAAGAGGAGGATGGCTGCTGCAGGGGAGGAAGCAGCCTGCTTGCAGCCCATCCCTTCCTCTTGCCCACAGCCCTGCCTTGCAGCCTTGCTGATTGATTATTTTCAAGTGCCTGCTTAGTGGAGCTGCTCCCCAGGGGCTGCCTGCCTCTCGGCGCTGACACCTTTTCAGCATGAGCTGCATCTCTCTCTGCTGCCATCCTTTTGATCGAGATCTAACGGCCCGTGCCATCACTGCTGAAGTGCCTGTCACTCCAACAGAGCTGGGGACCTCCCCATCCTCTGCAATTGTTGCTGGTGGAGTCCCTGCAGACCGCAAGCATCAATGGAGGCTTTTTCCCTTTCGGAAGAAATCCCCCTCACGTTGCCTTGAACATCGAGGATGAGAATCCCTCACTGTGTCGCTCCTTCCCCCCTGCACGTTGGCTGGAGGAGGAAACCTCCTCCCTGATGGCCAGGGTGGCGACTGTCCCCTCTGGAGACCTATTGGAGCTGGCAGTGGCAGAAGCATCAGTCCCAGAGATGGTCATGATCTGACCAAACTCATGGAGCTGATCCCATGCCTGGAAACTTGATTGCATATGTAGGACTCAGGGTGTAAATCAAAGAGTGTGATTCCTTTGTTGTTGTTGGCAAAATGGAGCATTTTATAAATTCTGCTTTGGTCTCAGCTCCCGTTTGCTGATATTCTTGGGTGACCTTGGATAATTCGTTTCATTTTTCAGTGTTTTGAAATACTGAAATCTGTATATAATACGATGATAATATCGTATTATTCTAAGCGTGAACATTTACTATTGTGATTTAGAACAATAAATTTACATGGGTTTTAAAGGCACTCTGAGATACTGAGGGGAAGGTATTGTTTTTCAGATCTCTTGGGGTTAGCCAACCGGTCATATGAATTTATTGTGCATTCTGGTTCTCATCAAAAAAATCTACATTTTATGGCTTGCAGTGAAATGCATTCAATGAGAAAGTCAGCTCTTAAGTCACACCGACACGGTGATTTTTCCTGCATTTTGCCTATTTAGACACAACCTCAGAGCTCTTTTCCTGCGGGGATGATGAACACACGAGCTGCTCTGATCCATGCTGGCCATGTAGACCACTGTGAAATGCCCCTGCTCCGACAGGGTAGCCCTAAAAAAATGCAGGAAGAGAGGAAATCTTGGAGAAGAACTGTTGTAGATAGGTTTACTCTTTGGTGGGGAACAGGCCCTGCACTGCATTCCTGCCTATGGCAGACCTCTGCTCCCACTCCCCAGTGCCCTTTTGGGGCAGTTAGCCCATGTATTCTTCCCTGCAGGTGTTTTCCTCAGAGCATTTTTGTCAGCAGCAGCTGTCAGATTGCTTCGGTTGCTCAAATATTGCTTGACCTCAGCATTTCTGGAGTGCAACCCAGCTCTTGTTGGGAATGTGGAGTGTGAAGACTAATGAGGAGGCTGTCAGTGTTCTTGTTCGCTGATGGAGAACTGAGAGTACCTCCTTCAGTTCCTCTCTTGCTTCCTTCCAAAGAAATGGGGGTGAAGGTTGATGGGAGCATCAGCCCAGAAATAAGGCACTTTCTGGGATTCACAGGAGGTTCAGCTGTGACACAGGGTGATGGTTTTGTCCCTAGTCATCTTTTGCCTGGTGAAATGTGATTTCTGTCTCTTATTCTTTGCCTCTGCTGGTCCCAGTGCCCTTGCACCAGAGCTTTTAATGTAGATCCACGAGTTGGACACAATGGAACTTAAGGGTCCTTTCCATGTCAGGAGATTCCATGAATCTCTGATCTTGGGTGATGGTTTTTGTCCTTGGCTGCTGCACGTTGGTGCTGCTGTAGTGCAGCTAAGTACTTGTGATCTCACCATGAGCAGTGACTGTAGCATGACTGTCTCAGGGCGATGTGATGCAGCCCATCGTGCACCCTGGTACACCAAAGTGAACCAGCACTGGTGTGCTGCAGAAGACAAGGAATGATTGCCCTATGGCCTGCAGCCAGCAGAGCAGTTCCCTTCTCTCTACCATACATGTGCAGGGATCAACAGAACTGCTTGTCAGATGGCTGAGTTTTCCCCAGAAATATCAGTGCCCTCTTAAAACACATTCAGGCAATGCAGCTGCCTCACAATTATTGCAATCCTTTTGTTTCATGTGTTTCCTAAACATATTGAAGATGGCACCAGCCACATCGTTTGTCCTTAGAGGACGAACAGAGCCCTCTATGTTTCCATCAAACAAGAGAGAATCAAATGCTGCAAGGCCGTGCGGATGCCTTCTAATGATGTTTCTGTCCTTGCAGGCTCCCACTCCACCGTTTACAAGGACCCCATGATTCTTGTTGGACCAGAGAACCTCACGCTGACGGTGCATCAGACTGCAGTGCTGGAGTGCATCGCCACAGGCAACCCCCGGCCCATCGTCTCCTGGAGCCGCCTAGGTGAGCCCCGGAGTGATGGGGTGTCTCATGTCACCTCATTGCCATCGCAGGGGAAACAGGGAGTGCCACTGGCTGTCTCAGCAACAAGTGATTCACTCTTTTCATTCCTGCAGTGATTAATTGTATGCTTGAAGTGCTTTTTATTTTCTTGTCTACGCTTTGCTTTTTCCCTCTGCCGAGATCCTGTTTTCAGCTGTTAAGGAGTGGGCTGGTTCAATCTGTAGATGTATCATGAAAGGTGATAATTTTCTTTCCCCGACTGACAGCGTCTCCTTCAGCGGCATCAAAAACATCACCACTGTTGGCCCCAGAGAAACAGAATCATACAACACAAACACGTCTTCCGTGTAAAACAGACTTAAAAGAAACTTGCTGCCTGTTCAGAGAGTTCTATAAAAGCAGAGGGAGCTTAAAGTAGCCATGTCTGAAGCTCTGAAAAAACAGATGCTCACTGCCGAGGTCAGTGATATTCTTTAATCGGCATGGAAACCAGGGCCAGTGTCTGATGGCATCATACAAGCGGAATGTAACGTTATTCCCAGTCTGAAAGCAAGGGTTATTTTAGGCTCTAACTGGAATACTCAGAAAATACTTTGTGCAGAGCAACATTTCTGTTGCCCAACAGATGTCTGTGCTGAGCGAAGAGCTGATGGCTTTTGATTTGTCTTCTGGAGCTTGTAACTCTGTGTGAGCGTGCTGTGGGGTTGGGTTTAGTCAGCATTCCCCAGGGCCTTGTGATCTGCAAGGCCGTGTGGTTTTTAGAAGCTAATTTCTCCGAGTCACCCCAAGTGGCTCTGAAGCACAAACAGGGATAATCTTGTCCTGTGCTGCTGGGCTGAATGCAGGGCTTCAGGTCCGTGCTGCTAGGGTCAAGTGAGGCTTGTGGGAGGAGTGATGTCCCACCACAGAGCCATCTGTGAGGGCACAAGGACACGTACCAGCAGTAATAGTGCATTTCTCCATGCTTGCCTTCCTGCTTGCTTCCTGTGGTGGATTATAAAATCTGCCACTGACTACTTTTCCCCCAGAGCCATAACCATCAGATGGATGCTGGTTTAAAAATTCCCCAGATAAGCTCTAGCACTGTTCTGGTTCTCCTGGACACAAAGCAGCTCTATGTTAGTGCTCAACTATAATAAACTATGTTATAATTGCCTTAATTGTAAGTGCTTATTACCTTCTTCAAAACACTTGTCTCTATAGAGCAGTGCAATAATGAAGATGTAATGGCTTCATGCTAGATTTGTCTGGATGGTGTGAGCTCAGCACTGCCTTCCACCAAAAATAAACACCCCTTGCGGCAAAGCAGCGGATTTAGAGCTGCTGAACAGGAAGGAGATCTCGTTACTTTCCTTACCCTTCAGTGTGAACATTCCACATCCAAAGGATGACGATATCTTCATGACATTTCAACAGTCTCAACAGCCTGCTGTCTCTTTGCAGTGATTTCAGAAGCATTTTCCTGCCTTCATCCCCTCCCAGAAGTGATAAAATCCATGGTCATGAGGTCTTAAAGATGTGCACCTGCTTTGGCTGTAGACCTGGCTTAATTTAAACAAAGTTAATGATATATGGCAATCCCTCCTGCTTGGTGGAGGGAAAGAGTCACAGCATTGCTGTTCTGCCAGGACTTTGCCCAGGGAGTCTTGCCATTTTGGAGGGTCTGTTTCAATCCGTTTGCTCACAGTTTTGATGTTGTGGCATTTCTTCTATCTGAAAGAAGCAGAAGAACAATTTTGCTTTTACAGCTATCTGTTGCAAGGGGAAGCAAGCCATAAAAACATTTGCACGTTCTGCTTTGCCTTTGCTAAAACCTGGCCGGTTTTCAGTGGGAAAGGCAGCTATAATTCTGGGCCAGTTTTTGACTGTCACATGATCAATTTTGAATTTAATTTCCTTGGGAATATGTTGTAGCTGCTGACCACAAACAGAATTCCTGTGTGTCGCAGTGCGTGTAATGTCAACATTCATTAGGGAGCAGGCTCTGAGAGAAATGTAAAATCATTAAGAGTTTGTTCAGGGAAGATAGGGCTTTTCCTTTCAGAGCTACGCACTTCAGGCTTGGACCTGTATGTGTGCACAAATGAATATCCTGGGCACTTCCAGCAAAGCCTTTTGAATGAATGACGATTTTAATGTATCCTTACCCTTTAACTGACAGGCCACTGAGCTGGCCTCCATAAAAGGTACCAAGGCAGAATAATGCACTATTTAGAGAGATACAGAAAAGTGAGGCGAAAAAGAAAAGACAGTGATTATCTGATAGCGTTATACAGGAGTTGTCAGAAGGGGTCACACAATGGGAAGGAAATTACTGAAGAGGGAGCCATTCAAGAAGTAAACTATACAACAATTGTAGGAGCCAATTAATTGGTAACTTATTGGACACAGAAGCTTGCAATAGATGGCTGACTGGTTGACAGGAGCACCGTTCCTGTAAGTGTTTAGAAATAATAGAGTAAATTTCACCACTTCACATACTGAATAGTCAACTGTTGCAATGTGCTCTAAATATGCTAATCCACTGCGCCCAGTGTCCACTGGAGCAGGAGACCCATGTGCCTAAGAAGTAGAAGGCTACTATGGCACAATACAAAGAATTCACAAAAGACCTAAATGATCAACATTGGAAAGTTGTTACTGTCTTTCTACTTGCTACTTAAAAAAGAAAGGCATTGGTGTTGTTGCATATTCATATCTCCTGGCATGTTTTAACAGGTCCCTGTAATTGGTACCAGTGTGCCAATCACTTCTTAGCAGGCAGAGAAAGGACTCCTGAAGGCATCGTGTACACCTTGGAAAAACAAATAACGCAGCTCCCAAACCCCAGGCATCTTGCATCCAGCCTTTGCTCCAACAGAAAACCTGGGAGCCTCTAATGCTCCACAACAGGCATTCTTTGGGAGCATCTCCCACTAGGAGAACACTCCAGTTTATTCCAGGCTGTTCTTCACATCCTTCATCTGTCTTCACTTAAGGACCGACAGAGATAACCTGGTGGTCATTTCCCTCTAGTCTGGCTTGTTTTCAGCTCTCAGATGTTCTGCTTTTGAGTTCATAAGTGGAAGGTCACAGTAAATGATCAACAGTTTGAAGCCTGGAGAAATGACTTGTTGATAGGAAGCAGTGCCAAGAAGGTGGGTTTTCAGGGTCTTAATCTCCTGATCCAAGCCTCCCAGCAAGAAAAGCAAGGTTAAAAGAGATGTCAGTCTTTGCAAAGTGGATGTGAGACATCAGTCCCAATGCGCAGCACTTCTGCAATGTGTTGAGCTTCCTGGGTACAAAGGATTTCTTATTTAAATGCTTTGTATTATTTGTACGCGTTGTCGGTGTTACCAAGTTAGACCTCATATTAGCTGAAAACCTTCTAACTGATCACAGCATGGCTCAGGTTGAGCTGGTTTGGGTACCAGAGCCCTTTCCATACATTTCTCCAAACCCATCACAGCTGTGTGGTGCTGCATGGCCCTCCCTTGTGTTCCAGCCCTCCCATTGGGGTTCAAGAGTGCTGGATCTGCCTCTTTATCCTTAAAGCAAATAGAGCAAGAAGGATAAGAAGTTGGGAACGTACAGATGTTATGCTAGAAGCTTGCAGGACTTTTTAGAAAACAGCAAATGAGAAAGACATATGGGCTGATTTGGCACAGGGAGCCTGTGTGGCTGCTGTACGTGGCTGTGCTATTTGAATCAAACAGCAGCTCCCTTGGGGCTTCTGGGCTCGGAGGGCTTTGTTCCTCAGGGAGATGAAAGATGCTGGGTTGACAGGAGAGTTTCTTCAGAGCATCACACCTCTAATTAATACTTGGATCCAGAGAAACGACTGAGGGAAGTATCGATGCAGGTATTCAGGCTGTGTGGAGTATCTGCTGCAGGCTGGGACTGTTGTGCTTAAATTATGCAGCACATGATAAATAATACAGTAAATCTACTGACATTCAAGTCACATTTCTGTGGTGTTTCTCAAGGCAATGATGGGATGAAGCATCCAAATACGGCTGCTTTGCATTTTTGCTGATCCCGTCCCTCCCTTGAGAGGGAGATTTGATTTTTACACCCATTGTAAATACAGGCATCCAAAAGGTCTAATTTAAAAGATGAAATCAAGTTCAATTTGAATTTAATTCAGACCTCTTTACACTTCAGTTCAAATGATGTTTGAAGGAAATGGTTCCTTCTTATTGCTCATTAAACGCGGGACAGGTCATGTTTTATTGTCCCTTTTATGACTGAGCCATTTACTGCTGCAGTGGCTTGGCCAGCTATGTGATCATTTAATCATTTAATGACATTGTTTTTCTCTGTCTAGAAGACCCAAGCATTTTTCTTTGCAATGCAAATAATGAAGTGATCTAGCATTGCCTGCCTAATGAAGCAAGGAAACCTTGAAGCTTAAAAATTTCCTGAGAAACAATACAACAAGCATGACAGGAGAAATGTTTATGAAGTGCTCAGTAGCTTTTGGACCGTGTTTTGCCAGTAGCCTGATGCTGCCAGTCTGAAATGGGATCCCTCCAATGCTGCTGTCAGAGGCGTGAGCTCCCCATCCCATCCTTGCCCTGCCAAGTGGATCCGTATGTCTTGGTAGTTAATTTGCCCTTCCTTCCAGGTGCTGCTTTGCCTTTCTGTTTTCCCAGTCTGTTCCAGAGCCTGTTGGTTATCCAGTGGATCCAATCCTCATAATATTCTTTATTACGCAAAGCATAAGATGAGATCTAAAGCGTACTATTACAAGGTGACTTTCTTGAGGTTGTCTGGTGCTAATGGACCCCAGCAACAATTTCTGCCCACTTGAGGTGGGTAAGACTATGGCACAGACCAGCAGAGCTCCTGGGAGGAAATTTTTTGGGTTAATGTTTCCCTTTCCTAATCACAGCTCTGAAGTGTAAGGCACAGACTCTTCTGCTGGGAAGCACACACGTCTGGAGGGCTCACGGGGTTTTCAGATGCAGTAATCATCAAGGGTGGTTCTTGCTTCTCCTTTTCTGTAAGCTCCTTAAACTGGATTCCCAGTTCCCATCTGAGGAAAGTATGCTTTCTAACTGCTGCTCCAGTAAGGCGAATTCCCTGCCTTGCCACTCTGCTCAGACACCCTGACACATGCTAGGAGTGATTTAAAGCTGCCTTTGTCAGACAGTGTCTTAAAACACAAACCAATGAAACAATAAAAAGCAATAGCCTGATACTAATGAAACACATTGTAATTAGAGCTGGCTGAGAGTTTTCCAGTGAAAGCAGGCTTTGTTGGAGAAAGAAGAATTCTCTGATTCTGAACTATTTAATATTAAGTGTTTCAGTTTTGAAAATGTTGCTGCTCTCCAGCCATCCTCCTTCAGACCCAGCACTCAGGATGAAGGCAGCCCTTTCAGCTCAGAGTTTGACTCCTGGCTATTCTGTGTACTCAGGAGTTCAGGAGTCGAAAACCCAATGTTCATGCAGTCTCCGAAGGCAGTGCACAGATCCTCTAAGGGTTAACAGACACAAAGCGTCACTTCTAGCTCAGGAAATCCCCAAGTCATAAATTGCTGGTGGCAAGGGAAGTGCATCAGGGTGTTTGCTGATGTCTGTTGAATCCTTGGTCAGTCCAATGTAGGAACTTAGACAGTGACTTGCAGAAGTTGGTACGATTTTATTTGGTTTTATTGCTCTAGTGAGAAGCATTCTGGGAACTTCATCTTAACCTGAACGTGATGTTGAAAGCTTCCACATTTCCTCGTGATGGTGCCTTGGTTTTCCAAGCAGCACAAAGCGTGGCTTTGGGCAAACACTTAACTGAGAATGTTGTTTTTCTCCAAAGACAGTTCTGCTAAGAGCATCAGCTATAAGCCATTGACTTTACTTGGCAGATCCCAGTACAAGTGCGTGGTACCACTCCGTAAGAACTTGGACTGGACCTCAAGAAAGTCTGTGCCTTGGAGAATTTCAGACAAAGGCCCAGTTTGCAACCTTTATATTTTTCCCTTTCTTACAGACGGCCGCCCAATTGGTGTGGAGGGAATCCAGGTGCTGGGGACAGGAAATCTGATGATCTCAGACCTCAGCGTGCAGCATTCTGGCATCTACGTGTGTGCTGCAAACAAACCTGGCACTCGGGTGCGAAGGACTGCTCAGGGCAGGCTCGTTGTACAAGGTGAGCACAGCAGGGGTGTCACAATTGCAGAGTGATGGTACCCATGCGCTTTGCACAGCTTCTGTGTGTCTCTGGGCTGTGTGACAGGTTGGTTTGGGCTTCACTGATGGTGTCAGACAAAGCAGTTCTTTTTTAGCTGTGGTTCTTCAGGTGGGTGAAAGTTTCTGTATCCCACAAAAGGTGAGTGGTAACTTGGTATCCTTGAACTGAGGTCTCAGCTGTAAGAGTTGCAGTGTCCCAGCGCCTCATGGAAGTATATGGCTGAGCAGACTTCTGCTGTTACCTGTACATCTCAGCAGAGAGCACAGGATGAATTAGTTAGCCAGATTTGCCTCTTTCCCTCTGCATGGTCTTAGTGATACAGGGATGTGGGCACTGTTCTCTTACTGGACAAATCTGCATCATTCATGCAGTGATATCCAGGAGTAGATATGGCACAAATAGAACTAAAGCCATTTCCAGAAAGTCAGCAAGACTGTTTGCTTTAGCAGTCAACACTGCATCTGAGCATCTTGCTCCAGTGTGGGTAAAGCCCCATTTGGGTTCACGCTCAGAGAATGCATGCTGCTCCCCTTCCCTGCAGCAACTGTCCTAAAATGTCACTGTGAGAGGGTGATTCAGCCCAGAGTAGAGTTCAACCCTGAAGAAACCAAACAAATCCCCTGCATATGCTCTGTGTAACCAGTCTCCATGGTGAGGGGAGCCAGGCAAGTATTTCAGAAGGCAAACCCAGCTGGCAGTGTGCTCTGAATGGCAGTAATCCGCCCCTGATTACAGGCACTCACCTCCTCTTCAAGCTAGTCCACTTAAAGCATCGTGCGTGCTCTCATCAGTTCACTCATTAACTATTGACTGATGATATCCTGAATCTGAAATTATACACCTCCTGCCGGAGCGAGCTAATTGAACCTTTCATGCTGGTGATGGGGAAAGTGCCCTGCTCCAGCCCTGATGCTCACCTGACAGGTCCTGAGAGTGGCTGCGGTGATCCAGCACCGCCTGCAGTCCCTGTGTGCTGGCATCCCTGTTCCCTTTTGCTTTGGGAGCAGCAGAAAGGGAGCTTGTACAGGGCTGAGTGATCCTCCTGGGTCTCAGGTGCCGGCAGGAGGTGAGAACTTGCCATTTCTTTTGCTGTTGCATTTCTAAGTGAACTGTGCAGTGAGCACTGCCAGCTGGCCTGGGAGTCTCTTTTCAAGCAACACAGCCCAGGCATTGAGAACAACCCAAGCATTGAGAAAACCTCACTGTACTGACACAAACAATTTTGAGCTGCTGCAAGATGGCTCTGCACATGCTGCATGTGCTGCAAAAGCACAAAGCTGATTTCTAGGTAGCAGACAGGCAGAGCCAGAAGAAATTACTTGAAAAATCTATGATGTTGTAAAAATGCAGAAATTAGATACACCTGGGGGTTCCAGTTAGCAATTGGAGGAGAGGGGAAAGGGTAGCACAGTTTCTCATTGCCACAAAGCAGTCTCTTTGGGGAGCTGAACATCAGCCCCTGAGCAGCAGCAGTTTGTCTGGAGTAGGATTACTGTGGATTTTCACCTAGGAAACCAATATGAGAATTTGTCCCTAAAAGGGAGCCCAGCCTCACTATAGAAAGGAGTTGTTTCAGTGCTGGAGATGAGCAGAGAAGTGGGCAGTGGTGTGGAATATCCTTTGTGAAGCACTTATGGACATGAGCTGCGCTGTACAAGAGTCAAACCTGTGTTGCCATCCATAAAGTGATGTATAATAATGTTGAGGCAGGCTGTGCTTCCCCAGGAGGCAGCTGGGCTCATCCCGGCTTTGCTCACCCTCCTTCTAGAAGCAACTTCTCCATCTGAATCTCATTTTGCCTGAATTTTTCCAGCTGAGAGGTACAAATGATTGCCGTTCAGGTTTGCCTGGGAAGCAAACACCGGTAATGACTGATGTGGGAGACTGATTTTTATCTTTGTAGAGATGGCAGCGATGCAGATTACATCCATAAAGAGAATAAAAGCCAAGAACAGGCTATCAAAAGCCTGGTTGGAGAGGAAGTTAGTACAGGGCTAGGACAATGCCAGAATCCTCAAAGCACCAGGCCAGGTACTTGCTGCCTTTATACAGGGCCATTGAAGTGCCTGCAGGCACAAAGTAACTTGCCCTGTGCCTTTTGAAGGAGGCACAGTTTTATGGATGGGAAACACGGGCAGAAAGAGCGATGTTTCCTGTTGTAAGGCGAGGAGCTGGCAGGAGGCAGGGACTGAAACCCCATCCGCCCTCCTGCTGCCGCCTCTGCCTCTCTGCAGGATGCCAGGGTCCCCATCCCAGCAGCCACAGAGGTGTTTTGTCACAGGGCTCTGCTTTTCCTCCAGCTTTTCGCATTGCAGGCTCTCCTTCAGATCATCTTATTATCTTCCTGGGAATTCCTCCTCCCTTCAGAGGATAAGGCCTCAATCCCCCCCTCCCTCCCTCCCTCCTTGCCCTCCCCTGGCCATTTAGGCTCCTTTGATCTCTTTTGTAAGGTTCTCACACAAGAAAGTTCCCATTTTCTCTCCAGATCCCAGTGCAGACATTTGAATATTGCTTTGTGCCGGGCTGCCAATGGAAGTCTCCCAGGGGAGCTGTGGAAGGGCCGAACGCAGCACGGCCAAGCATAGGGCATGCGTGTGTGCAGTGCAAGGGAAGAGCAAGCTTTGGTGGCAAGGGGAGAAAAACATATCAAAGCGCTTTCTCCCTACCTCCTGTGCAATCTTTTGTGCTTTATTATGTGTTTGGTGTCATAACAAACTGATGGGCTGTGAATGGCCAGATGGTCACCAGTGTTCTCCACTCCACGCTTCATTTCCTCCTGAAAGCTATGCAGAAAAATGAGAGCCCATCTCATAAATGGGTACCCATCTTAAGGATGTGGTTTTGAAGGCTCTGCCAACAATGCTTGCCTTGTTCATGTTGTTTTCTGCTGGCAGAACAGAGCATTGCTCCTCGGTCCAACAGATCTGGCTGCCGCTGCACTTCCTGGTGTTTCCTCCATCTCCGTGCCGTGTTGGTGGTGCTGTAGGGCTGAGTTTGCCAGCAGATGTGCTGCAGTTGCTGTGGTTAAGGCTCAGCACCGTGGCACGTGGTTTGCACCTTAGCCCTGGCTGAAATTCATGCTTCAGAACTGGCCTTGTGACCCGCTGCGTGGGTCAGCCTGCCCACCTGCTTGGTTGCCTTCCCAAGGAAAGCAGCTGAGCAGGGATGTTGGATCTCATCCATTAGGATGATGTAGTGAGCTGTGATACTGGAGCCCCAGTGTGTCCACCCTGGGCCAGGTAGGTGACCAGAAGGTGACAGGGCCATGGTTCTGTCTTTGGCCCCAGCAGTCTCACCAGCTCTGCAGCTTACGCAGTTTCTCACAGAAGCGTCTGTGCATCCTCTTAGGCAGTGGAAAGAGGCAAAATGAGAGGTGGTTCTCTATCTTCTGTCATGTGATGCTGTGCTTGACTGACTTCCCTGCTGACCCATCTTCTCCTTTATGCCCTTGTTGTGCACTGTGGACGCCTAATTTATGAGGTTTTGTTGCTTCTAGATTATTCTTCCTCCTCCTTACCCCAGCCTCCCTCCTTTAACCTATGACTGTAGCTAATTGAGAATTAATGACTGCTTAGTGTTTTGGGTGCAAGGGGCACTGGCACCTCGAATTTCACTGCAATAAAGACTGCACCCCAAGCCAGTGCCGGGGCTGGGGCTGCATAGAGAGGCTCCCCATTATCTGAGGCCCAAGGGCTGGGAAGAGATGGATCCAGCCCAGCTCTCCCATTGCAGCCTGCTGTTACAGTGCATCTTTGTGCTATCACAGTTTGTGCACAGAAAAACCTATTGCAGCACTTTGTTAACGATTCTGAAGGTGGCATTAAGCATTATTGCTTTTTGATACCAATGTCATGCCCTTAAATATTCATTAAAAATTCATTAAAAATGATCCCCTCCCTCCCGTTAAGTCCTGAAGAATCAACATTCTGGTTTCCTCATCCCACAGAAGCAAGAGTTGGAGCCTGCCTGCTCCTCCTTGGATGGAATCCTCTGTTCTGAAGAGTGATCTTTGTTAAGGTCTACATTAAGATTTTCCTGGGAGGGCTGAGATGCTTCCCCTCACCACCTGCAGTGGTCTTTTGGCTGCAGGGTGGAAGGACGTGAGCTTTTGAGGCTGCTGTGCCTCAACGTGCTGAGCACTAATGAGATGCTCTGTTAATTATGAATGAAAACAAGACATGGCTGTGCTGCTGCTCCTTTCTTGCCAGTGAGGGGATTGAGTGCAGTCTCAGTAGGTTTGCAGATGACACCAAGTTGGAAGTGCTGATCTGCCTGGGGGTAGGAAGGCCCTACGGAGGGATGTGGGTAGGCTGGATCCATGGAGATGTGGCTCTGAGGCACATAGGCCGTGGGGATGGGTTGGGGTTGGATTTGGTGGTCTTAGAGGTGATTTCCAACCCCTCGGTATGGGGTGAGCCATCAGAGGGGTCCATAATGAAGCTATCCAAAGATGGCCATGCCCTTCCTTAGCACTGCATCTTGCACCTGTGAGCATTGCAGGCGTGACTCCTGAGCCCAGATGAAAGCCAGGAGGTACACAGCCACTTGCAGAATAATTGCTCCTGCAAAACCTTCGCCAGCACAAAATGGGGGGCAGGAGGTTAAGGAAGCCTTGAAAATCAGGTCCCTAGCGTGCTGTGCTCTCAGTGTGCCACAAAGGGAACCGTTCACTGCAGGGAAGGGAGATTTCATCCCCATTTGTCTGTGCTCCCAGCTTTATTGAACCCATCCTGAATTTTATTTTAATTTATAAGTCTAGGGGGAAAAATGTGGAAAGGAAAAAGAAGGACAGTGCATCGATCGGCACCTGGCGAAGTTTAGCAGGAGGTTCTGAAAATATGTGTCCATTAGGTTGTTGAGCTCAGGTTCATTAGTAGACCCGAGTGCCTGACAATAAACTCTGCTGGGGGACGCCCCTGACTGCTAACATAAGTCAGGGCTGCCATGCTCCACTTCCCTTCGGTTATTAAAACTGAAATAAGGGGTTCCTTCAAGGTAGATGAGCTCTTCAGTGAGCTTCTGTGTCTTTCTGCTTGCAGGACTTCTAACCAGTGACTTTGCTTTGAGACAGAGGCACCTTTTGGTGTGCTTTGGCCTTGCCACAGTGATAATGATGCTGTTTCCTTGCATGCATGCAGGTGGGGAAAAGCTTAATCGTGCTGTGCTGTCATAGCTAAACCCCTTGGTTTTTGTTCTGGGGTTTTTTTGGCCATGAACCACGAGGCTCTGCTCTTGCATAGCTGCTTCTGCCTGCAGCTTGCACCCAGCCAGCACATTTTGCTGGACCAGTCTGCTCCTTCCTCCCATCTCTGCATCTCACACCGGCACCATGCATGGAAAATCTTGCAGGTAGCACTGAGTGTTTCTCCCTGGATGATCTTGCTTTTGTCGGAAGAATTTAACGCCAGCCATCCGCTGTGCAGCACTGGTTGGTAAATTCATTATGGGCTCATGCCTCTCGTCTGTTTGTCTTCATTGCAGCTGCTGCTGGTTCCACCTGATTTTAGGTCTCAGCATCAGCATGGAGTGTATTTATCACTTTGCCCTTTGAAGCGTAACTGCTTGAATAAACTCACCGGTTTGGCAGCGCCTTTCAGCCCCGCTTTCTGTAGGCTGCTGTGCTGTTTTATTCTGATAAATGGTTTTAAATCTATTCAGAGCTGCTGGGAGGGGGAGAAATCACTTTCTGTTTACAAATCTGAAGGTAAAAATGTTTGGTTATGAGGTTACAGCAGTTACAGGCTATGTGATCTCCTCCAAGGCTCAGCAGTTCCAGAAGGGTCCCAGGCTTCGGATCTGAGCTAAAAAGGGCTTCCTGTCTATTGCCATCAGGATGATGTGCAGCAAATTCCATATTTGCTGGGGACAGAAGAACCTGCCAGATTGCCATGTGCATGTCTGTACATTCCTGTCCATTTGCAAGCAGTTTGCTAGTGCCATTTTATATGTTATTTGCTGCCTATGCTGTGGCTTAGCCAAATATGTCCCTGGGTCTGACAATAATAGGACTTTCTTTCCCCAAGTACCTGAGACGGTGCAAACCAAGCTACAAGGTTGCTTTTCATGCCAGAATGAAGACTAATCATCCTGACTTCTCTCCTTCTTCCTCCCTGCAGCCCCTGCAGAGTTCGTGCAGCATCCCCAGTCCATCTCCAGGCCCGTGGGGACCACAGCCATCTTCACGTGCGTGGCCCAAGGGGAGCCCCCCCCCCAGATCACTTGGCTGAGGAATGGGCAGATCCTGGAGACGAGTGACCACATCAAGCTGAAGAATAACAACAGGTAAGTGCCAGGGTGAAGGGCAGCGTCAGCCTGGAGTTGCCATGCACAAAGGATTGACATCACCTACCTGATGGCCCAGAAAGAGCTGTCGCTGCAGGTCTGTTTCACATTGTTTAGCTACAAACATGGGATCAAACTGAATAAAGAGCACATTAGCTCACACAGGCTTTGACCCGTGGGACCTGGCAACCGTCCTGATCCTCTTCTGGGTGTTTCTGGGAGGGCCAAATATTGTCCCTGATGCTGGCTGGGACACCACGCTCACTCCACGGTGGAAGAGCTCATACACTGATCTGCCTGGGTGTGCAAATGCATTTCCCCGTTTGAGATATTTGCATGGAAGCTGGCTGTCACTGAACTACAGCCTTTTATCTCACCAGGGAAGAGTGTTTTCTCTGAGTACTAAATAACTGCATTTCCATTCGAGGGGATGGGGATGTTTGCACTGCGCAAATGATACGGTGGGATGCACTTAGTGTGAAAATTGCAAGTTGACAACATATTTCCTATGGAAATGGCATTGAACAATGTGCTGAAAAATAATATTACCTGTGTTGTAAACCTAAATTATTGGTAGAGATTTGCACTCTGTAGTGTCATGTAGTTGCTCTCTGTATTGATAAATGTGACTCACAAGTCCACCTCGATGGAAAGTCAGGACCTTCAGTTCAGACTGGGTTGGTACCAACACGTGTTCCCTAGGAGAAAAGGGGGTTTTATTTCTGTAAGGTTCTCTGTAAGGCAGCTTTTTGTTTTCAAGGTCGAGGTATTTTTAAGGTTTGTTACATGAAGGATGTGAATTGCAGGAAGGACAAGGTGTGAAATGTAATAACATCTTCTTGATCAGCGGAGGGTTTTTCATGCTGAGATTTCAAAAAGCTTCAGTGAACTTTGTGCATGCATTTACAGATGCCACTCATTCCATCCTCACGGTGTAATAGCTCACTGCTTGGGTTTCTGAGGCATGTCTGCCTTTAGAATATGAACAGAAATGGGAGAAGGGAAGTCAGTGCGTCCCCCTGTATCGGCCAGGAGGCAGAGTCACGAGAGACCAAAGACTTCAAAAGCCATGAATAAACTCGCACAGAGTCCAGATCTGGGTCTTTCCTTGTGCCTTGCCTGTGAAATCATTCCTCCTCCCTGTTAAAGGAAGGCAAAAGTAGGGTCTTTGATCATGACCACGACTTCCAGCCAGTCCCATTGCCCAGAGCTGCGCTCCACGTGCCTGTTAACTGCCACTCGGTGAACATGGCTGTAATCATTTTCTTATGGCAGTCATTTAATGCAATTTAGCTGCAGCCTTTTCCATTGCAAGCAAACCGATCAGATTACAGTGCATCTGTAACAGGCTGGGGGAGCTCAGCCAATTCCTGGGCTCAGCTGACATGTGCTGTCTTCTGCAGCTGTAGTAATGCAGTTGTGAAGCAGAACCCCGAGGCCATCGCAGTTGACAATACTGAACTTTTGGCTTCTTTTCCTCTACTTTTGGCCTACTCCAACCCTCAGTTCAGCAAAATGTCCGTGCCTGGCAGTTTCCAAAGCTTTCAGTCTGAAAAATGCTCTTGCTTGTCCAGTGTGTTGTTGGGTGCTCCATGAATCGAGGGAAAAGATGGATTAGTGTTTTATTCTTGACCTTTTTCAAGCTGTGCTTTGTTTCTTTCTCATGGGCATGACTGAGTTCACTTAGTTCCAGGCAGAATCTGCGACTGTGCCTTGGATTTATCAGTCTATTGAAGTTGGAAAATATTTGTCCATGTAAAGATGGATCACAAATCTACTAGTAATGAAGCTACTAAACTGCACCGTGAGCTATTTAATTAGATTTCATGGTTTCCTAGAAAATTCATTTGGATTAAAACTCTGCTTAATATAGCAATAAAGGTCTCAATGCCCCCATAGGGACTTTTAGGGAAAAAAAGAGTACATCATCCCAAATCATCATCCCAAATCATACCACTTGCTAATTGTTTTCAAAGTATGTTACTCAGAGCAACCTTGTTCTTGGAAAGGAACCCAACTAGAAGTGTGATCCAGACCTGCAGTGTCCGAGGTGGAGCTCTGCAAGCACAGCCCCTGCTTGAGGCATGGATCTTCTGGCTGTGTCCAATAAATTCCTCTTCCCTCGTGGTCCTTCTGATGCGAATCGTCACTGCCTGGTGTGCTGATGGTTTCTTGACACGTTAGCATTAAAGATCAGCCTTCTCCTGTGCCCTCTCCGGAGGTGGTGGTTATGTTTTGTAAATGCCAGCTGCGCGGGAACAAAATACCCAATCGATGATTAGCAAAAATCAAAAGCAGTTCTGGGATAGTGGATAATTGTTGATGAAAAATGCATGAAGGCTCAGGTGTGGGGAACAGTGGGGTTTGCCATTAAAATCTGTGAATAAGAAGCACTGGAGGGGCTGATGATGGGGGGTGTCCTGCCATGTGATCCCCGGGTTGGGGAGGGGGTTGAGAGGTGTCAGAGGGATGCTGTGCTCAGCCGTGCCCCTTGGTTCAGAGCTGACATGCTGCCCTTATTTTTGATGGGGTGATTTGGATCGATTGTGAGACCAGTGCTCTGGCCTAAGAGAAAGAGAAATCGGCATTTTCAGCTGCATTCCCTACAACACAGCCCTAACGCATGTGGGCTGCTGCAGCAGGAAGGGGTGGTAACTGGATGTATTAGTTATGAGCTTGTGTAAAATCATGCTTTTTAGGTTATTACTTCAAAATCTACAAGGAAGCATGAAATACTACCTAAATTACTGCTCTGAGAGGTTTATTGCTTTTCTTCCTTTAACCCAATCAGGTTCAGGGGGATAATTTTCAGCCCAGAAGTGGGGGTTATGTTGCTGTAATAGCAAGGAACAAAGGCTAACATCTTCAGAGAAGGCAGGCTCTAAATATTGATTTTCCAAGAAGATTTTATTTACAAAATGGTAATTAAGGGACTTAATTTGTTCCACGGGAGGAAGGCTTCGTTAGAACTCAGGCTCAGGTGGTGTTTGCTCTCCTTGTGACCTTTGCTTATGAACTGTCTGCTGCTTAAATTCTTCATCACTGGTTTGTCCTTGTTTTAGTGCAGTGGGAATGACTCACTTCAAGGGCTGTGCATGTACTTCAAGGGATTATCAGAGAAAATACTCCCCTACCTAGATTTGAGGACAACTTTGCTTTTCTTGACTGGTTGTGTTGCAGATACGGAGAATGGGCTTCAAGGAGATAGCCTCATGTGCTTTTGGGTACCAAACCCAGGGCAGGTAAGGCATTACTGGCTGGCAAGGAGGCATTTGGCTACAGAATCCATGTTAGCTGGGTGTAGAGAGGTACAAAGGGATTTGTGCATCCCTTCAAGCTCCTGAATTTGGAGGGATTTGGGCGCCTTGCAGGAGGACAGGCGAGCCTGTGGGTTGTGCACGCGATGAGCTTAAAGACCTTTGGTGATTATGAGAAGATATTGAAAATCATATTTCAGTTTCCAGAAGCATGACAAATAAGCACGTGGAGGACCGGGATGCGAACCAGCTGCTTGTGATTTAAGAATAATTTATGGGTTTGACTTCATTTGGAAGAGACACGTGGGGAGGCTGTGCAGGCTCCTAATGGCCTTTGTGGGGGGGTGGGTCTGAGCACGGTCGCACACAGCGTGATGCTCAGTGGGGCAGCCCCTTCCATGGGCACCAGTCCTGTGCCAGGTCACACTGCAGCCCCAGGGCAGGTGGTGGTGATGGGTGTCAGTCTGTCCTCTTGTGGCTGCTGTTGTTTTGCTACTGCTCTACTCAGGAAGTGCAGTTCAGGGGCTTCAGTGTTTCTTGGGACAAAATACACGTGGGAGGGCTTATTATTGAGCAGCAGTAGCTCTCTCAACTGTCTGTATTACTGCTACCAACACAGGCATCCACCCTCCTTTCCAGGAGCTTCTTCTGAGATGTTCTGTGCTCTGTGTTTCTGTAGATGTAAAACCTTCTCTGCTCCCTGCCTCGGACAGGATTCTGTTAAATCTGTAGTTTCAAACAGAGCAAGTGGCAGCAGCTCATTCACTACATGTCCTCAGTGCTATGTAACATTGCAAACCCAGGTGTCCTGAAGCCAGCAAGGAAGGATGAGCATTTCAGGATGAAGTGGTCCTGCTGCTGTACCTTTTTACAGCATCCGCTTCTGAGAAAAGCCATCCTACAGCCACGTCCCTGTCCTGCTGGAAGCTGTCCTCTCCCAGGGCTGCAAGAAAGAGCAGCATCTCTGTCTGACAGCTTTGCAGGGCCGAGCATTGGCTGTGATCCTTTTGTCTGCAGGTGAGTGGGTGGGGAGGCTCCCACTGGCACCATGCATCCTATTTGGCAATGGCAGCATTCCTGCAGGAACTGCACTGGGGTGAGTCTGTAACCAAAGAGCTGGGTGGGATCCTGGCCTGTGTTTTCTAGACACCAGCCAGGCTGCACAGAAAGGGATTATCCTCCTGTCCTGCATAGCACCACCCAGGCGATTGGGTTCCACCTAAGAAGCCTGCAGGGCATTTAATTCCTGGGGGCGTTAGAATGTGTGTGAAAGGCTGGGAATGATCTGTAGCGTCCGTCTGGGCCAACGAGTGTCACCCTTTATGTTTTGCACCTTATTCTCAGCCTACACTAAAGGCAGCCTCCAAACCCAGGCATTTCTGCATTAATTTCATCACACTCCTGCTTTGTGCGTGCGCGCGCATGTTGATCTCCTTCCAGCTGGGCCCCTCTCCTCCTTTGTGCCGCTGAATCGATGAAGAGCCTTCCTTCAATCCTCAGACTTTTGCAGAGGAGCCTTTGGAAAGCTGATCTCTGGTCAGCGGCCCGGACCCCTGACCTCAGCAAGATCAGTCATCCTGATTGCCTGCAAGCCGCGAGACAGCTTGGGAATAGCAGCTCGGAGCCCTCCCACTCCCCTCCTCACTCTGGCTCAGCAGAGTGTGAACCCACAGCCTTTCTTTTCCCCACCTCCATCAACACCCAGCGGGGCTTTGTGCCCAGATGTGACGCAGCCCGCGCGGCTCTGGTGAGCAGCACAAAGTCCTCTGGCATCTCGCCGTGGTGGCGGCGCTGCCGGCCTGCTGCTTACAGGAAAGTTTTCCAGCAGCAGATGTCCCAGGAGTGACAGATTTTTCCCAGTGACAGGAAGGAAGAAAAGGACACCTCCTATTTCAGATGGTTGATGCACAGCAATGCTCTGCGCTGCCTCACACAGCAGCCACCTCTTTTCCTTTTGCTGGAGCTTCCTTAGAAAAAGAGAACAATTAAAAAAGCATCTTCTGCATCCCAGGGGTGCTGTGTGAGGTAGGCAGAATGTGTCAGTAGTTCAGATGCAAAAGGATGCACAGCAAAGAGAGTATGGGAACTGGGGTTCCCATAACCCACTGCCAACTCCTTATAGTGCAGCTTGGCAGCCCCTTGTAGGGCTCTGTCTGTGAGTTGAAGGGAGAGAAACTGGTGTTCACAGAGCTGGTGTTTAGATGCTGGGCATCCCACTCACTTGATTTGTGCTCCTCCCCCAGGTTTATAGGCAGAGCTGCAAATCCGGCAGCTTTACTGACCCTGTTGCTTGTGCGTCCTTCCAGGTGACTCATTGTACAGCCAAACCCAGCTGTTTTGTTTTTCATTGCAAATCACGATTAAGATGGACTTTTCAAAGCTAGAGGCACGTTTGAAGCTATCTTCATGATCAGTTTGAGGGAATTTGCCTTATTTCTATTCCTTCTGGCTTGGCACCCACTAGCACTCTGCAGAGGATGGCCGGGGCACTGCCAATGCATCTCAAGCATCCTCCCCTTTTCCCTCCTTTCTCTGTCTTTTAAATGCAAAGCAGATAAGTAAGTACACTTGGAGGCAGCAGATAAATGGTCCTTGTTCCTGGCTGGCTTTGTGGTTACCACTGCTCTCGGTGTGTATGCCAGCCCTGACTGCCTGCTCCTGGTGCCCAGATGCACTGCAGCCGTGCAGAAATAATCCCCACATTGACAGGGCAGGAGGAAACACCGCTGCTCCCTGCACACATCTGCTTTATGCAGAGCTGCAAGTGCAGCTCTTGCACTGCATAATCCTGCCTGCTGCCATCTGTCCTCGCTGGAGTCGGGCCGTTGAGTTGAGCCACACGCCAGGGCTCCCCTTCCATTTAATCAGATCTGCTGAGCCCCTGGCGATGAGAGGGGCTTAGGGCTTGTTCTGTAAAATCACCATATCAGCTGAAACCATCACATTTGATATTCCATTTACAATGTTTCCAAGGAAACAAAGGCACGGAGCATAAATAGATGGCTGTTAAACATTTGCTCACTCACCATGGTCTGGATAATTTGCAAGGCAGAAATACAAATGTTAGATCAACAGCGATAATAAATTTTAACACTGGAAGACCAATATTTTGCCGCAATTAGAAGCATTCATTCTGTCATCCAGGCAGGTTATTTATCATTGCCTCCTCCCATGTACTGTCTTTCATTTGCATAAAAGACAGCTTTGATTACAACTCCCTAAAAACCACAGAGTGCCCCTTGCATCAGCAGAGGTGCTCATGATTTACTCGTGTGCACTCAGCTCTGAGGTCCACCTGGAATTCATTTCAGGAGAAGAAGCTGGTCTCATCCTCCCTAGAAGCAGCAGGTGTGGTTTTGGTTAGATTTGGCTCATTTCTTGCAGAAAAAACAGTGAACAAAAGGCTCGTGTAAGCTTTGGCACAAGGCAAAGAGATGATGCTAAAACTGAGAGGCATTGAGGTCTCCCAAACGTTCTGCCAAAATTCAAATGAAGTGGACTGGGGGCTCGAGCAGGAACTTTACCTCTGGAATGAAACAGTTGAGGTGCCCATGTGTACATGCAGTCTAGTTGTCTATGTGCCCACCAAGCCACCAGCAGCATCCCAGAGTGCGCTCACCAGGGGTGGTGCAGAGATGGGCAGCACGCTCAGGAGCACTGTCTTTTGGGGAAGAGGTGCTTCAGTGGCTTTCTCCCTCTGTTAGGGTTGTTTTCCAGCAGGACAGCCTATGGTTGTCTTTGATGCATGGAAATGCACTGAGGGTTTTTGCAGATGCTTTAAACCTGCACTGCACTCATAGACTTTGGCTTTGGGCTCATGGTGACTGTTTTTTTGAGAATACAGAGCTAGGAGCTGAGCACGTAACCCTGCTGAATAAGACAGCTAATCCTCCTGTCACCCTAAGACTGCTCTAATATGCTGTAATACAATTAGAGCATCACCGAGGGGCATTCTGGCTGCACTCAGTCAGTCCTGGCTTAGCACCCATGTGCGGCGCCTGAACAGAATCGCTGCTGGTGGCTGTTTGCCGTGCTGTGTGGCTGGGTTACCTGTGGCCATCTGGAGATCCTTGTATTTACCTTCACCTCTTCAGCATGGATTCGGGTAGGAGTGTCCTTGGGAACTCACGTAATCCCCGTTGCGGTGATGGGTTGATGGTTGGACCCGACGATCTAAGGTCTTTTCCTACCTTGATGATTCTATGCTTGGCCCTCTCGTGTCCCCGTGCAGCACTCTGTCCATCTATGGGATCAACCAGGCGGATGAAGCCATCTACCAATGCATCGCCGAGAACAGCGCCGGCTCCACGCAGGCCAGCGCCCGCCTGACGGTCCTGTGGGCAGAAGGGCTGCCTGGACCCCCGCAGAGCGTGAGGGCCGAGACGGTGTCTGCCACCACCATCCAGGTGTCCTGGGAGGAGCCCCTGCAGAACACCAAGGAGATCATCGGCTACGTGCTGCACATCCGGAAAGCTGCAGGTATGGTCTGCCCACTGCCCAGAGGTTCCTCAGCCTTCACAGAATGTAGCAGTGAGGTCCAGTAGATGCACCGGGTCTGCACTGCAGTGCTGCCATCAACTCCATCTCCTCCGTCTTTCTGAAAGACAGGTTGGGCAATAAGGGGTGGTATGAGTAGCAAAAGGGTTGGGAGAGTGAAGCTGAATGATCAAATCGCATCAAAAGAGGGTATAGGGACCCAAAAGAGGGTATAGGGACCCAAAAGAGGGCCTCTTCATTAGGGACCAAACTTACTGCTTACAAAATCTCTTTAATCCCTTTACCTCTTGCAAAGTCTAATGTGTCTCTGTTCTGTCTTTCAACTTAGATCCCGTGGAGATGGAGTATCAGGAGGCTGTTAGCAAGAGCACCTTCCAGCAGCTAGTGACTGATTTAGAGCCCTCGACCAGCTATAGCTTCTATATAAAGGCTTACACCTCCCGAGGTGCCAGCAAAGCCTCAGAAGTCACAGTGGTGAGCACACTGGGAGAAGGTAAGGATCGCTTTGCACTTGGGCCGTCAGATGCTGAAACCTGCTGTGCACAGCAGCAGCACCACTCACCCTGATACCCGTTCCCCAGCACCTTGGCATGCAGCCTGTGTTGTTGTTGCTCCTGATTTCTGCTCTTCTCACACTGTGGGGTATTGTTTAAAGCTCACATTTATTGTTGTTACATGGGGATCAACCAATGGCCTTAAATGTTGTGTTTTACTCACTTATGCTGTAGCAGAGTGTGAGTGCAAATCAGTCCTCTCATCCATCTTGCAGCAGCTGTGGGCTTTTCCTAAACTGCTTGCTAAATGCACATTTCCTCTTGGAGAAGTTCCTCTGCAGCTCTGGCACTCACAGCTCTTACCTGATAGGTGCCACGCTTTTCTGAATTTAACCTTTTTATGCTCTGCCTTTGAGAAAGCACACTGACTTGGGTTGTCCTAGCCCACGAGTCCCTGCCCTGGAGCAGCCCTCTGTTTCAGTGGGAAGTTAGGCAGGTCTCCAGGTCTTTTCTCTGCCTTGGCCTCCCAGATGTGGCCACCGGTTGGCTTCTCCAGTTAAAGTGGGAACTCTGATGCAGGGCACTTTGTGTATGGACACCAGCCAGAAGCCACAGTCTGAGTGTGATCTGCAAACATCACCCATCTGGTTGCTGGCATTTGGAGAACGTTTTCCTACCATCTCATGTGCCTCTCCAGCACCTCTGAGTCCTTGTCTCACTGAGAACCATTTCCTAGGAGCCTGCCGTTGTTCTCCTGAACACTCAGTATTTACAAATTTGCAGCAGGGAGGGCATGGGGTACAATGTAAGATTAAATGAAAGAGGACGCTGACTTACAGGTGGGGAATCCGGCCCTCCTTCCATCTTGAGCTGTTGCTGCCATTTACTACAGCATTTAAGCAACACCACCACTAGACACTTACCTCGCAAGTTTATTTTATTGGTGCTCCACAGGAAATCAGTCACCCTTTGAGTTTGTTTTTCCTTCCAATTTAGAGACAGAGGAACTGACCAAGCTGCAACTTGAAATTCCTTGACCCGATGCTCTGAGTTCAGCTACTGCAGCTAAAAGCCAGCCATGCTTCACAGAGTCTGGTGCTTCTGCTGAAGTTTGGGTCAAGCAAGATAGGGCGTTTTGTCATTATTACCTTCAATCACAGCAGGAATAGTTAAGTATCTGGTAATGGGATCATAAATTTCCAGGCTCTCTGAAATTGCAAAGCATCGTTGTCCTGCTCTGCTACCCTTCAAAAAGTCTTATTCTATGTTAATGAACCTGCAGCAATTAGCTACGTGTTCAGGATGGACAGGCTGGCCTGGTTAAGATCACTCAACCTGGGATTGCCTCCCAGGATGATAAAAGGAGATTTACAAGCCCACTTCTGTCTTGATTTGTAAGTAGACATGGTGCAGACAGTGCTGGCTCTCTCTGAATTTTTTTTGCTTTGCTTCACTCTTGCTCACAGAGTTGAGAGGGGCAGGGAGCCAGGATCCAGCAGCTCTGGCCACCAAATTCAGGTTTTGCTGCAGATATGCCCCTTCTCATGCACAGCCAAGCCATGTCACACTGTGCCTCCCCAGGTTACACCAAAGAGCAGTGAGTGACCCTTTGTATCTGGGGAGCTGTGAAGCCGAACTGTTAAACGGCCTTGGAAGGGAGCAGAGTTGTCCTGCTCTGCTGGAAAGAAGCTGAGGGCTCCTTTTGGCTGCAGGATATAGCTCAGCTTCACAGAGCTTGTCAGAGCTGCAGGCAAAGGTGTGGGCAGCTGGAACTGCTCAGACCCACCTTGCATTGACCGTGTTCTGCTGGTGTGGTTCTCAGAGCAGGGCTGCTTTTCAGGGTAGTAATATGCTGAGACAGTGCACATGGCTGAAGATCCCAATGCTTTCTGTAAGCACAGTGTCCCTTCCTTTGTGGCCAGTGATAATTTTGGATGAGAGGAAGGCAGCAAGGTGCTGCAGAGAAGCCAAACAAGACAACCTTGTCCTCCTTGCTAGAAAGGTCTGCTCGCCTCCTCGGGGTTCTTCGTCCCCCCAGCACTGGTGGCCCTTCTGCCTGGTGCCCATCCTGTGCTGGTGCTGGGATCTGGGTAGGCAGGGAGCACTCGCCATAGAAAACCCTTTGACTTCCTCAATTTGGCAACCCAGTGCTTTTCTGGGAGCTCTTGTGCCCAGCTCAGGGCTTCTTTATGCCACGGTATTTTAAATCTCAGACTCTGTGCGCTTCCTTAAGCAGCATGCAGTCCTGTTCTTGTCTTTTAATGCTTTTTAGGGTTTTCTCCAGGACTTTTTGACATTTCTCTAGGATGAAGACTATTCCTTTAGTCACCTTCGGCTAAAGACGCCTTCAAGAAGAAAGTTGAAATGACCTGGGGAAAATTCCAAACAGCACAGAAGAGGAAAACGAATATCCCAGCCCTTAGCATGAGGGAGATGCCTTACTTATATTAGAGTCATATTATGTTTTGAATATATACTTCTGTGAAGCGCATATACACTCGTGTGTGTAGTACATATATTGCTGCACACACAGATGTGCTCCATCTGTATACACTTATTTGTGTAATGGCATTATAAGCAGCACGTGCATCCTACAAGTACGTCCATCTAATCAATATTATACTTATATATACTCAGAGTTTGAATAAATACTATATATTTCATACCTTGAAGGGGAGAGATTCTTGTGGTTTTTATTAAATGTAAGGCTCTGCAACCATAAAATAAAGCCAACTCTTCACAAATCAGGATGGGCCACGCTAGTATTTCTTTCTCCATAATGCAATTTCCCTTCCTGTGGTGTTTGCACTGATGATTCAGGAACTGATGCTCTGAGCAAAGGTTCGACTTCTTGGAGGGGAGATCCGATTCCTTATGTTGCCCTAATGGGAACTGAGAGAAATTAAGTGTGTTTATGTTATTCCATTGGCTCAGAGAAGAAGAGAAGAGTGAGTATCTTTCTGGGATACTCACCAGGAGAAATCTCTTCGCCTGCCCCTAAATCTCCTTGTGGGAACCTGGGCTCTCAGTGCCCGGGAACAGGCCAACTGTTGTGCTGTGTTGTTCTGACTTTACTACTAAATGGAGGCAGTGCCCTTTTTAGCTCTTGTCAGTCTCAGACTGTCACAGCCACATTTCATCTGCTTTTCAGCAGTGCTCGCTAAACGGCTGCGCTGAACTCTGTGCCAAAGGACAGTGTCAGGGCCGGGTTTCACTGCTCATCGTTTAGAGACCTGTGGGGAAAACCAGATAAAAAGCAGCATCAGTGCAATGCACGTCCACCAGCCCTCATGTTTGGGGGTATTTTGAGCTTATAATCACTCAGAACTGGAAAATAACTCTGCCTCAAAGCCTTCTCTTAGCTAAAGGCTGAAAGACAAGCAGGGCTGTTGTTCTGCTCGGTGATTTTTGTGCTGGGTTTAGCCAAGCTCCCTGCCCAAGAACCCGTGTGGGAGCAGAGCCCTTAGGCAAGACAGAGCCCACAGTGCCTGCTGCCATCCATCCACCTTCTGAAAAAGGCACAGGAGCTGATGGGAGCATCTGGCCTGGGGGAGTTGTGTGGAAATGAAGTGAAAAAATCATCAGTGAAAGGTCCTGCTGAGACACATCTCTGCACTGATGTGCTCAGTGTGGGAGAGAGGGAGGGAGATGGGAAGGAGGATGCTTAGGGGCACATGGTGCTGTGTGCCACCGCTCTGCACGGGGTTTTGTGCAGAACCAGCTTTGGAAAACTGATTTATTTGATTCAAAGAAAATGACGCTGGTTTGCAAACCTTGGCCTGATGGGGCAGGATGCGACTGGGCAGCTTTTGGGGACCTGGGGACAAAGTGGCAATGACACTTTGCTGTTTGTAACCCCAAAAACGAAGGCAGGATTTTGGGTCTGTTGAGCAGAGTGCCACTGATGGTAGCAGAAGGCTTCCAGGTGGGCTCTGATTCAGGGCTTGGTGACAGTGGGCAGAAGCATGGCCGTCTTCCCCACTAAATCCCCCTGCACCCTTACAGCCAGGTAAGTGCCAGCCACAGCTGTGCATGGAGCTCAGGCTGCTCAGGGAAGTAGGGCTCTTACTGAAGATGCCTCCATTCCCTCCTCATTCCCCCAGCAGGGAACCAAATGTTCCTCTGAAAGCCAGCAGGGAGAGCAGCCCAGCACACTGTGCAAGCCCTTGCAGGTACCAAGTGCACTCAGCCAGGCAGCAGCATACATACCTCACGTTCTGCTTTAAGACAGATGTCTCCGGCTCCATCCTTTCTGGTTCCTTCCTCCCGTGGGGATTAATCACTCTGAAAGGTCCTCGCTGCCCTCGGGGTGAGGGCAGAAAAGTGGAAGCTGAGAATGTGTTTCCAAAGTGGCTGCATTCCTGCCCTGACCCGGCGGGGCTGAGCATCGGATTGCAGCTGCTTGTCAGAGTAGCCTCTGTGCCGGATGAGCTGAGCACAGGGAGCCCCTGGAAATTCACACAGCTCCCTGAAGAGAGTCTAGGCTGTTAAACCAGGGCCCTGGTCTAATTTGATTTTCTCAGTCTCATCTAGCACATTCTTTGTTGCAGTGGCTGCAGGGAAATGCTGGTGGGGAATTTCTCATTGTACAGATACAGAGCGCGCACAACCCACTGTCTCTCTTTGTATGTTCCAGTCCCAGCCATGCCATCCCTCTTTATTAAAGTCATTAACAGCACGGCCGTGCAGGCGACGTGGGAGCCCTCCATCAAACTGGGCCAGCACGAAGGCTTCAAGCTCTACTACCGCAAAGTCCACCTCTCCCAGTACACAGGCCCGGTGCTGCTGGCCAGCAACGTCACGGCATACAACATCACCCACCTGGGTGAGTGCACTGACTGCTCCATCTGCACCACCTCCTGACTCCCGGAGGGCTCAGCCATTGAGCCGAGGGTGCTACAGCTCTGTCTCAGGTTTATGGGCACTTTGCAGGTGGTGCAGTTTGTCTTGTGACTTGTTTGCAGCATCTCGTTGGTGATGGTGTTGGTGACGTGTGTTTCCTAAAGAACTGCTGCGCTGTGGAGAGAACGCTGATGATTAAGCCTGAAATACCCTTCTTGTTTCTCCAAACAGATGCATCAATGGTGTATGAGGTCAAACTCCTTGCCTATAACCAGCATGGGGATGGAAACTCGACCGTCCGCTTTGTGTCCTTGAGGGAAACTGCGGAGAGGACAGGTAGGACGAGGCTGTTCTCAGTTGTAGTTAATGAATACTGATTTATAGAATCACAGACTGTCCTGAGTTGGAAGGACCCATAAGGATCATTACCTGACTCAAAAGGACCACTCAAAAATCAGACCATTTGGAGGCAAGTGGCAACACATCCCCCAGACAGCACCACTTTCAGTCACTGTTATTTTCAGCCTCACAAATGATGAGAGTGTGTGGGGCTGGGACCATGCTGTGCTGATAGGACTTGGCTCCCTTGCCACGATCCATCCCAGCTGCCCTTCATTAGGTTTAGAAGCCAACACCTCCAAGCATTAGGTAAAAACTGCTGTCCTCAGGAGAGACATGGCGCACTGAGCATCTTTGCTCAGCCCCCACGGACATTTGAGCTTTATTGGTGGTGAGGAAGGAGGTCACGTGGCTTTGGGAAGAAGGGCTGCAGAGCATGAGCATTACAAGATGAGGCAGAAGAGGAAATCTCTAGAGGGAATCTCTAACTGCTCACACCTTTAATTTTCACCTATGTGTAAAAAACATCCTGCTGCTCTTACCGTTCTTTTAAGCCTTCCAGTGGGAATATCTCCAAGAGAGAGGTATTACTTCTCTGTCTATGCTAGAGTAAATACTCATCCCGTTGGCAGCTGCCAGCTCTGTGCCTTCTGCCAGGTGCCATGCTCACTCAGGGAAGGTCTGATAACAGCAGCCTGCGTGATGGGGATGGCTCGCTACAGCCTCTATGGGGTACCAGGAACAGGGGAGATGCTTATGTATGCCAAGAAAAAGGAAACTTTCACTGCTAACCTCCTCCCCCCCCCGGTGCGGGGGGGGGGGGGGGGCGCCCGTGCGACTGCATGAAGGATGAGCAGAACAACAAAACCTCTGCGACTGGTATCATCATTGGGATCCACATCGGCGTCACGTGCATCATATTCTGCGTCCTTTTCCTCATGTTTGGGTACAGAGGAAGGTAAGAGCTGCTCACCATGCAGTGGGTTGTGCATCCTGCAGCATCACTGCACAGCCCTGGGAATGCCACACTGGTGATGTCGGTACCGTGTTCCCTGCCTTCCCCCCAGGCACACAGACCCTGATGTAACTTTATAGGAGGGATTTAAAGAGTGAAGGAAGGTAGGGAAGGTAGGAAGGAAGCAAGGAAGGAAGGAGGGAAGGAAGCAAGGAAGGAAGGAGGGAAGGAGGAAAGGAGGGAGGGAGGGAGGGAGGGAGGGAGGGAGGGAGGGAGGGAGGAGGAAGAAGGGAGGAGAAAGGAGAAAGGAGAAAGGAGAAAGGAGAAAGGAGAAAGGAGAAAGGAGAGCCACTGGCTCTGCTCACCCTCAGGCATTGCCTCGTTGTTTTTCAGGCTGCTGATGTGTAAAAACGTGCAGGAGCAGCTGTCGACTCCGCAGATCCCGAGGAGCCAGAGGAGCGCTGCGGGGATCATCCTGAACGGAGCCGCCCGCAGAGACAGGGACGAGCGGGACCTGAATGGAAAGCAGCTGGACATGAACGAGCTGGAGAGGTTGTTCCCAGCATCACCATGTCCAGAGCAGCAGGACAAGGGGATAACGGTAAGTCCAGCAGCACGAGGTGGGAGCGCACCTGGTGGGGGTGGGTTGCTGGTTGGACTAGCTCATCTTAGTGGTCTTTTCCAACCTTAATGACGTTACGATTCCATGAAATGCCTAAGAGCATTGGTCACCTGCCACCATCAGGGAACTTTCTTTCTTTGCAGCCTGCTCACAGCCCTCCTGCCGCCCATGACGACACCCAGATATCCACGTTGCCAATGGACGAGTTCAGCATTGTTGAGGAGCAGCCAGACTCTCCCCCCAAAAGCCCTCACAATGGCAGCCCCGCTGCTTCGGCTCCCCGCCACGGCCCTGCCAATGAAGGATAAACTGCCAAGACTCAAACCCTCTTGCAGGAGTTACCAGAAACCAAAACCGCAGCTGGTGATGTCTTTACAATGATTCATCAATCTCAGGTCAATTGAAGATTTCTGCAGTCTGATTGTTATTTTTTTGTTTTGCTTTATTTTTTATATATATATATATATATATAAATATATATATATATATATGTGTGTGTATACAGCCTTTTTGAAACTCTGTGAAGTTTATCTTTCTGACCTGTCTCAGGCCCCTTGGTGCATTTCTTTCAACGATGGCTTTATACCAAGACTGGTCATGATTGGTTTTCCCATAGCTGCTAAGTAAAAGGCTCCTTGCAGAGCCTGGCAAACTCCTGTCCCCGACGGCCCGGGATGCCTCGGTCTCTTGGCATCACAGACTTCTTCCTGACCAGCAGCTTTAGGACTACTTTTTTGGATCTATTTTTTATTTTGAGAAGACTGGATTCGGAGCAGTCCTTCTAACTTGACTCCAAAAATTGAGGCCTGGGAAGGCCATCTCTCTGTGGATTGGATGATTTTGTACACTTTCACTATTTCTCAGGATATTTTTTTGCTGATTGATTATAGAATATGAAGAAAAAAAGAAAAAAGAAAAAAAAATGTGTCAGAGGAAGCCTGCCTGAGGGCTACTGAAAGACTTGGATGAACAACCCGAGTGAAATCAGAACCTACCTCAACCGGAATGAATGTCTTCTGGGAAGCAGAAATGCCTGCGTCTTCCTTCGTGTTCAAAAACAAGTAGTGTAGCACTTGGTCAGTACAAGCTTGGTCCTACCTCAGCCGTCCCGCTCTGTACCTGCCGCATCGTTGTTGTTTTTGTTGTCGTCCTTCCTGTGTAAAGCACTTCCAAACCTTGAAAGCAATGTTCTACCTCAAGTGTGCGAGAAATTCGTGTGTGTGCGTCCTCACCCCCTCCTCCTGCCTCTCGTGCAGGCAGCTGGTGTTATGAGCTTTATTTTAGGCACGGTGGGATTTCGCCTGGTGGAGATTTGTGTCGTGTTTCTTTTTTTTACCTTTAAAGACTCTGGGGACCATCACGGATATGGCCCACATGGTGGTTGATGCCCTGCGGCTTGCCAGCACCGTTGCTCTCACAAAGCCCACTTGGTGGTCCCAAATAGCTGTCTTGGCCCATCCTTGGGTGTATGTGGGATGGGTGCTCTGGCCAGGAGCTCGTGGAAACCCCAGCTCAGCACTTCCAGAACCCACTGAGATGCTCCTGAGTGGGTTTCCAGTGAGCAGGGCCTCGTCTTGAAGTGGCCACCGTGGTCCATGCATGGCCTACAAGGTCTCGTTGCTCCTGTCAGGATGGGGTATGGGAGCTCTGACTGCGATGCAGAAGGGCTAGCAACACCAAAGAGAGTTTTTGTGACCTCCACCAACCTGCCACCATTTTGGGATTCATAGATTCTTAGAATCACAGAACGGTTGGGTTGTAAGGGACATTCATGATCATCTAGGTCCAACCCCCTTGATGGGGACAGGGCTGCCTTCCAGCAGCTCAGGCTGCCCAGGGCCCCATCCATCCTGACCATGGGCACCCACAGCACTGGGCAGCCTGTTTTATGTTGTCCCAGCCTCACAGCTTGGTGTGTGACTGATGTTGCCCGTCAGGTCCCCTGCCATGTGGTTATTAAAACCAGACAAGCATGAAGGTTTGAACTCTTGTAGAGGTGGTGGCAAATCCAACGTCACCGTGTTTGCAGAGAAAAGCAAAAAGAATCAGGAAAAGAAATGAGTTTAAGAGAAATAATAATTGTATTTTTTTAAATGGTACCAATGGGAGAGTCTCTTATGTCAGAAGCATCCCCCACCACCTTCATATTTGGCAACGGGATGCTGCCAGTAAGTGTGTAAATAATACAATATATGGGATGGTAAGGAAAGTCCTGTCCCGTGTGCTGCATCCTGGGGATGGCGAGGGCCAGGTGTGAGCGGGTCCCTGTGCTTCCAGACCAGATTCAAGCAGCCCCTCTCACCCCACTGGCCGTATTCCTGCTCCGGTGTGCCATGGGGACAGCACCATCCATCCATCACTGAAACAGGGCCGGATCTGAGCCGTGACCAGAAACCCAAACCTCTTCCCATCCTGCTCCCGGCCCCGCTTCTTGTTTCCTTGTCGTTGTGCGGAACGCCGAAGCTCACATTGAAGTACTGTTGCCAAAGTGAACCCATGACTTAGAGTAGCTTTCAGCTCAGGATCCCCGGAGCTGTGAATATGCTATTAATTTAATATCATATTATTGTGATATTGTAATAGTATTTCTCATTACTTCCTTTTATTAAAGGGAAATGCTGTGCCATTTGACTAGTTGGAATATGGTAGTACGTCGAGAGTAGATTTTTTTTTTTTCTTTTTAAATAATTATGCAGAAATGTAATGGCTTAAACCAGTGCAGATTCTGGGTTGGTTTGAGACGCTTGAAGATGGATGTGAATCTTTAAATGCTGTTTTTAGGTGTATAGCTCTTCCTCTTGTTGAGTTTCTTTGACGCTCTTGTCAACCCATGCCGATGGTGGGGCAGCCCTGCAGGGCTGAGGCTGTGTGGCCAGAAGGATGCAGCCTTCCCCACCTCATCAAAGCCTCCTGAGTATACCAAACTGGGCAAAAAAACCCTCCAAAAGGTGGCAAGAGCCGGTCTGCGGGGTCATCATGAGCCAGGCTGTAGGCAAACCTGTGCCAGAAAAAGTGAGGGAAGTGTTGTCTGGAGTGGCTTTAATTTGTAAAGCAGGAAGGAGGAAAAAATAAGAGCTTGTGTTTGGTTTCAGTTCGGGGCAGAGGATCAAGCCTGCCCTTGGTTCATCCAAACTGCTGCCCTGTTTTTGCTGGAAACCATGGGATTTCTGTGCTGCCACTGGGAGGACAAGTAGGACAGCAGGTCCCCGCGTGGCTTTGGGGGGAGGCTGCAGGTGTCAAAATGCTCATCGCAGGTGTTCTGTGAGCCCTTCCCTGTACTGTGTCACCAGGGCTTTGTTTCTGCATTGGGTGTTGGGTCACCAGAAGATGCAGATGAGCCCCACTGCTGTGCTCCACCACGTCCCAAACGTTCAACCCAAAGCTTGCCGGCTTTTGGATTCCTTCTCTTCTTCCCTTTTCCTCTTGGCTCAGAATGTTTTATCCAGATGCAAAAAGCAGTGGATAAGGGCAGGCTCTGGGTCCCAAGCCGGCTGCTGGCAATCACCCATGGTTGGGGCAGGAGTCGCGTCCTGAAGTATTTTACAAGAAAGTAATCCCACTAATTCAACCCCACCTGCCTTTTCAGGGCACATCCAGAAACCCCCTCACTTTTCTGGCTGTGGTGAGATGAAATTGCAGCAAGGAATTAAGGTATCCAAAAACTGACTTTCATTTTATTATTTTTTTTTTGTAACCCATAATGGGCACAACCTATTCTCGGAGCTCTCAAGTCTACCAGAGATGGCTGCTACCTCAGGGATAGTATCCACGTTGTGTTTAGTTGGACAGGGACTAGTTTGATGCTGTGACAGGGTATTTTCACGCTGTTGGATTCAGGTATTTATTTGTCTAATGTACCTTTCTTCTTCCTTGTTTTGGAAAGATGCTGAAATCTTTAAGTGCTGGACCAATTTGGGAATTCTAAAGATTCCACCCCAGATGGTATGTTTTTGGTTGGCAGTATACAATGAGAGATGCTGTGCCAGAGACATTTTGGTGTCAGTTGGGTGGCAGCTGCTTGGTGTGTGCATAAGGGAGATAGGTGCAGGGCTGCAAAAGCAGAGCTGAATGTAATACATTTCATGGAATCATAGAATATCCCGAGTTGGAAGGGACCCATAGGGATCACTGATTCCATCTCCTGGCTCCACATGGGACCACCCCAAAATCAGACCATAATTGCACCGACGGGTTTATCCTATGTAAGTACGTACAAACACGCTGCTAATTAGAGAATTACTGAGCAGTCATTGCCACCACCGCTCAAACTGATAGGCAGTCAGTGTGGCCATGCATACTCCATCTCCATGCCCGCAGCATTTTCCTCCATCCCTACCCACGCTCATTGCAATGGCCTCAAACCCATCAGGCGTTGGGATCCTCGCCGAGCTGCCCAGGAAGGAGGGGAAAAGGAAATGAAAGCCCTATGAAAACAAGCAGCATAGGGGGAGCGACTGACTCCCTTCATCTGTGCAAACAGGATTTGGAAACGGATCCCTCCCGATGCTGGGCTGTTCGAGGCAGATTAAAGATCCTATCTAGCAAACCCAACACCGGCTGATTTATTTTCCTCCCTTGGCAAATTAAAAAGAAATAGGGGAAGGGAAGCACCTCTGGACATGGTTATGTGGGCTGCCAACGTGCATCACATCCATGCAGCGGTGCAACCCAGGGCAGCAGCTCCAGGGTTACCCCTGGAGCAATGTTTGGTCACTTCGTTTTGTACAATAAGGGTGGTGGGCCAGGGCAAAGCCCAGAGACTGGGGAAAAGATTTTAAGAGCTCTGGTCACAGTCCTGCAGAGCTGAGGGATTTTACTTTGGTCATCATTGCGTCATTGGAACTTGCAATGTCCTTGAGTTTGTAAGAAAGTAATAAAAAAGATGATGCTCAGCTTTTGTCCCACTCCTTTATGGAAATCTACCGTTAAAGAGTAATGATAAAAACCCAAATTGCAAAGCACTTTTTTTCTACTGTTTATTTTCTACCTTTCTTACTTTGAACTGTCTTGATATTTGAAATCCCATTGATCCTACAATTGCTAGCTCTGTATTAAAAAAAAAAAGAAGGAAAAGGAAAAAAAAAAGGAAAAACCCCCTCTTCTTTTTTTTTTTTTTTTTTTTTTTTTTTTTTGTAGTTTGCTCTGTTTAGATTTTAGCCCGTGGCTACTTGTACAAGGAAAATAAAGCTAGAATAAATGAGCTAGAGCTATTCAGGCTGAGCCGTGCTTTGTTCCTGCCGCAGCAGATGAATGGCGGCAGCGTGGGAAGCGCGCGGTGTGCCGGGATGGCGGCGGTGGAGGCTGCTGGGTTGGCTGCTCTCGGTACAGAATGGCTTCCGAAAGGCCGTCAGCAAGGGCTGAAGGTTGGGGCTGGGAACAGGCTGGGAAG